CGGATTTCTTTGGTCTGCGCTAAAACGAAAGTAGCTCCTCTCAAACGGCTGACAATCCCAAGGCTAGAGCTCACAGCTGCGGTTATGCTTGCCAAACTCGTAAAGTACGTGAAAGGAGAGCTCGATCTCTCGAACACGCCGACGTTTTTATGGACCGACTCCTCAGTTGCGCTTACGTGGATCAACTCGCATCCATCCAGATGGAAAGAGTTCGTGAGAAATCGTGTCCAACTCATACAAGAGACCTCACGAGCTCAATGGAAACTCGTTCCTGGCAAGGAAAACCCAGCTGACTGCGCATCTCGTGGACTAACGACAGCGCAGCTCTCTGCGCATGAACTCTGGTGGCGCGGACCACCGTGGCTCATGAAAAGCTCATCGTCGTGGCCATCTCTAGAGCTTGCTTCAGTGACATCATCAGATCTTGAAGAGAAACCTGATGTCGTTCTGAACGTGAAGGTCCAGCGCATAGAGATTTGGGATTTAGTTCATCGCTATTCTTCACTCAACAGATTGCTTCGAATTACGGCCATTTGCCAACGCGTCATTGCTCGTCTCAGAAGAATTCCTGGATCATCGTTAGCAACAGCTCTGAACCCTGGTGACATCGAGCAGGCCCGACTGCTTTGGGTCAAGCTCACTCAGTCTGCGCATTTTTCAGCTGAGGTTACGACCTTGTCCAGAGGGCACCGTCTTAGTTCGTCTCACTCGCTCACTCGATTGACGGCGTTCCTGGACCACCAGGGAGTTCTACGCGTTGGAGGGCGCCTGAAATTTGCTCAGCTTGACTGCGAAAATAAGCATCAGATCATCGTACCTCGGGANTCTTGTCACAGAGGGCAACGTCTTAATTCGTCTCACTCGCTCACTCGATTGACAGCGTTCCTGGACCACCGGGGAGTTCTACGCGTTGGAGGGCGCCTGAAATTTGCTCAGCTTGACTGCGAAAATAAGCATCAGATCATCCTACCTCGGGATTCGCAGTTCGCTCAGCACATCATTCGGGATGTCCATCTCAGGACTCTGCATGGAGGAACGCAGCTGACTCTCGGTCAACTCAGAAGGTCTTACTGGATCCTCGGAGGAAGAGCCCCGGTAAGATCATTCATCCTGAAGTGCGTTCCATGCGCCAGACAGCGAGGGATCAGAGCTCAACAGCTCATGGGCCAGCTCCCAGNTAGCTGACTCTCGGTCGACTCAGAAGGTCTTACTGGATCCTCGGAGGAAGAGCCCCGGTAAGATCATTCATCCTGAAGTGCGTTCCATGCGCCAGACAGCGAGGGATCAGAGCTCAACAGCTCATGGGCCAGCTCCCAGTTGCTCGTCTCACACCTGGCCGAGCGTTCCTCAACACTGGAGTTGACTACGCCGGACCAGTGTCTCTCCGCTCGTGGAAGGGGCGTGGTCATAAGTCGTACAAGGGATGGCTCGCGATCTTCGTCTGCATGACCACGTCCGCAGTCCATATTGAGGTTGTCTCAGATTACGCAGCCGATGGATTCATCGCTGCGTATCGTCGCTTTGTTGCCCGGCGTGGACACTGCAAGAACTTGTTCTCAGACNGCTCAACAGCTCATGGACCAGCTCCCAGTTGCTCGTCTCACACCTGGCCGAGCGTTCCTCAACACTGGAGTTGACTACGCCGGACCAGTGTCTCTCCGCTCGTGGAAGGGGCGTGGTCATAAGTCGTACAAGGGATGGCTCGCGATCTTCGTCTGCATGACCACGTCCGCAGTCCATATTGAGGTTGTCTCAGATTACGCAGCCGATGGATTCATCGCTGCGTATCGTCGCTTTGTTGCCCGGCGTGGACACTGCAAGAACTTGTTCTCAGACTGCGGAACGAACTTCTTGGGAGCCGACAAGGAACTGAAGAAGCTCTTCTCAATGGCGTCTAAGGAATCGAACAAACTAGCCCAACTCTTGCTCAGCGATGGAACCAGATGGTCTTTTAACCCTCCAGGTGCACCGCACTTTGGAGGCAAATGGGAAGCCGCGGTAAAGTCGGTGAAGTTCCATCTCAAACGAACGATCGGCGATGCTCTATTGAACTACGAGGAACTCACTACTTTACTCGCGCAGATCGAAGCCGTGCTCAATTCGCGACCGCTGGAACCGCTATCACACGATCCTGATGAAGTCAGCGCGCTCACACCAGGTCATTTCCTGATTGGCCAGGCCTTGACCTCCGTTCCTGACCCTTCGCTGGAGCATTTGAACGTCGATCGCCTATCTCGTTGGCAGCTTATTCAGCAGAAGGTTCAGTACTTCTGGAAGCAGTGGTCCACTGGCTACCTTCAACATCTACAGTCCATCTCGAAGTGGCACCACCCATCTCACAACATTAGGATTGGTTCCATAGTCCTTCTCACCGACGAGAGGTTTCCACCAACGAAATGGCCTCTCGCTCGAGTCATCGCTCTCCACCCTGGTAGAGATGGACTCGCCAGGGTGGTCACCATTAAGACGTCCAGTTCTACTCTGCAACGGCCCATCTCGAAGCTCGCTCTACTGCCAGTCTCGACCAGCGACACTTAAGATCATCTCGACCAGCGATACCTAGGATCATCTCACGTGATGACAGCTCTGCATCATCGGGTTCATCATAGTCCATGTTCGGATTGGGTCATGGTGAGGATTTACGACCCTCTCTGTGGCAACTGGTCCGGGGTGGACGTGAGTGCCGGGGTCTGACGGAATTTACGCCTCCTGCGTCTTCGGAAGTACTCACACCGGACCGTCACTGGTGAACTACGATGGTGATATTGATCTTCGAGAAATCTTGTCCTGAGCTCGATTAATCTCTTTTTGTTTCAGACCAACTCAGTCACGTCAGCAGCTGCTGACGGCGGGGGAGAATGTTCGGTTTTCCACCGAATTGTTTTTCGCACACGCACACTCACGCACACTCGCTCCTCTCGCATGCTTACATCGCTTCTCAGGACTGACCTGCGCAACCGACTGATCTGACCAGTGGCCTCTCACCTCTGACACCTGAGGCGCCACTTGATGGACAGGTGTCCAGCGAACGCCCTCATTTAAATTGGGGCACGTTTGGACCCACGATTATCGACANGTACATTGTGTTCTGCGAATATCTTAATATCTCAACTGTTTTCGAGTTCTGCGTATTATTGCTCCACGCTACTCAATTCTGTGAACGGCGTTAATAATATTTGTGAACCGCGCTAATCTTTTGATCCTCTCGATTAATTAACCACAGTGTAAATATTGACTTTGTTTAAATTAAATTGACTGAGTTGACCAACGTGCACGTGTGGTGATTTGTGGACCTTCTCCCGCTCCCATTAAAATCCATTTAAATTTCGCCCATCTCCAGTAAATATTCCCGAAACCAGATCCGAGCTCAAACAGTAAAAATCGAATTTTTATATTTTTTATATATATTGTTATAACTTTTATATATCTGGAATATATTTTCAGTATAATAATTCAGGCAAAAAGTTGTATAAATGAATTATATGATGAAAATACTTCGATTACATATGTTTAATACGTTTTTATGTATTTTATACAAGTATAAGGGGACTATAATCTTTTTATATTGAATATAGAAAATATTTATATTTCTGGTACAATAAATATACTTTCCGGATATATACATTTTCCATGGGGGTAATACCTTTCATTCTTTCTAGTTTATAAAAAATTTATTGTAATTGAAGAATGATTCAAGGTTCAAACATGGAAATGTCAGTCATGAGTGACTTGCCCAATAACTTTTGTCCCCTGATGCCTGTACATAATTTTCTGATCTGTGATTTTTTTCATTGGGTTTTTTTTTTCATTTTTCACAGTTTATGTAGCCGTAGTAAGGATATTGGTCTACGATCGAAGAACTCTGACGTCTAATTCAGCATTTCAACAGCGTTAGCATGTGAGAAAATCGGTCATCAATAAAATAGACGTCCCTAAAATTAGGGGAACAAGGTCAAAAAAAGTTTTTTTTTCGTAAAAATTATGTGTTTTTTATGTTTTTTGATGCTCCAACCAAAAAAATTAGTGCTCCAACCCTCTAGAGCGTAAGGGTAGGGGTTGCAAAATAAAGGATGATTGAAAAAAATTTTTGCCAGAATTATGTGCTTTTTACGTGCTTTCGCTGAGCGAGAGACGGAACGCTCCCCAACCGCAAACATGTGAGAAATGACTGTTCTCGGGGAAGATTCCTCCTAAGGGTTGAAAAAGTAGAATTGATGATAATAGCGGCATGCGTTAGGCCATAATTATGTGTCTTTTATGTGCTCCAAGGAATTGTGCGAGAAAAAAGAGAATAAAGCTCTATATGAGAAAAAAGACTTATCTAGGGGAAAATTCAATTCGGGGGTGAGTAACATGAGATTGGTCATGACAGTTCAGTGCCATAACCTAGAATTATGGGCTTTTTACGTGCTCAAAGACAATTGAGTAGAAATGGTTGAACAAATGAAGATTATTTTAAAAAATTCAGTCTATAAGGTATGATTAAAGTCACAAATGAAAATTTCCGGGCGGTACTTATTTTTGTATTTTATATTCACCATGCCATAGGAAAAAATATGTATTGCTAAGATCAGACACTGACAATGTTCGTGCTCCATGGGACAGGTGAGAAAGGTCTTCAGGTCGACCCGATGTGCCTGAGAGACACAATCAGGTGACTTACATTGTCCTAAAACATTATGTGCTATACAGTAGGCGAGGCCAATAAATTTGTGCTTGAGTGCCCTCCTATGAAAAGGGATCAGGTACAGTGGTGACCGCCGGCAACTTTGTCGCAGTCGCCTTATTTTTTTTTTGAATCATTGTTCTTTACAAAAATATATGTTTCCAAGATCAGACACTGAAAATATTCGTGCTCTATGTGACAAGTGAGAAAGGTCTTCAGGTCGACCTGATGTGCCTGAGAGACACAATCAGGTGACCTGCATTGATTTAAAACATTATGTGCTATACACTAGTCGGGCCCATAAATTCGTGCTTGAGTGGGATCAGGTACACTGGTGACTGCCGGCAACTTTGCCGCGGACGCCATATTTTTTTTTGAATCATTATTTATTGCAAAAAAAAATACGTGTTTCCATGATCAGACACTGAAAATATTCGTAATCCATATGACAAGTGAGAAAGGTCTTCATGCCAACCTGATGTGCCTGAGAGACATAATCAGGTGACTGGCACTGATTCAAAACATTCCCTCCCTTACATTTCCTCCCTTAGAGAGGGCACTCAAGCACGAATTTATTGGCCTCGACTAGTGTATAGCACATAATGTTTTGAATCAGTGCCAGTCACCTGATTATGTCTCTCAGGCACATCAGGTTGACATGAAGACCTTTCTTACTTGTCACATGAAGCACGAACATTTTCAGTGTCTGATCTTGGAAACATATTTTTTGCAATGAATAATAATTTTTTTTTTAAATATGGTGACCGCGGCAAAGTTGCCGGCAGTCACCAGTGTACCTGATCCCTCTCTAAGGGAGGGCACTCAAGCATGAATTTATTGGCCTCGAATAGCGTATAGCACATGATGTTTTGAATCAGTGCAAGTCACCTGATTATATCTCTCAGGCACATCAGGTTGACATGAAGACCTTTCTTACTTGTCACATGAAGCACGAACATTTTCAGTGTCTGAACTTCGAAACATATTTTTTTGCAATGAATAATGATTTTTTTTTTAAATATGGCATCTGCGGCAAAGTTGCCGGCAGTCACCAGTGTACCTGATCCCTCTCCAAGGGAGGGCACTCAAGCACGAATTTATTGGCCTCGACTACTGTATAGCACATAATGTTTTAGGACAGTGCAAGTCACCTGATTGTGTCTCTCAGGCACATCAGGTCCAACTGAAGACCTTTCTCGCTTGTCACATGGAGCATGAATATTTTCAGTGTCTGATCTTGCAAACACATATTTTTTTGCAATGAATAATGATTCAAAAAAAAGATGGCGTCCGCGGCAAAGTTGCCGGCAGTCACCAGTGTACCTGATCCCACTCAAGCACGAATTTATTGGCCTCGACTACTGTATAGCACATAATGTTTTAGGACAGTGCAAGTCACCTTATTGTGTCTCTCAGGTACATCAGGTCGACCCGAATACCTTTCTCACTTGTCACATGGAGCACGAATATTTGCAGTGTCTGATCTTGGAAACATATTTTTTTGCAATGAATAATGATTTTAAAATAAATATGGCGTCCGCGGCAAAGTTGCCTGCGGTCACCAGTGTACCTGATCCCTCTCCAAGGGAGGGCACTCTATCACAAATTTATTGGCCTCGACTAGTGTATAGCACATAATGCTTTAAATCAGTGCAAGTCACCTGATTGTGTCTCAGGCACATCAGGTCGACCTGAATACCTTTCTCATTTGTCACATGGAGCACGAACATTGTCAGTGTCTGATCTTAGCAATACATATTTTTTCCTATGACATGGTGAATATAAAATACAAAAATAAATACTGCCCGGAAATTTTCATTTGTGACTTCAATCGTACCTTATAGATTGAATTTTTTTAATAATCTTCATTTGTTCAACCATTTCTACTCAATTATCTTAGAGCACGTAAAAAGCCTATAATTCTGGGTTATAGCACTGAGCTGTCATGACCAATCTCATTTTACTCACCCCCGAATTAAATTTTCCCCTAGATAGGTCTTTTTTCCCATATAGAACTTTATCCTCCTTTTTCTCACACAATTCCTTGGAGCACATAAAAGAACATAATTACGGCCTAACGCATGCCACTATTATGATCAATTCTACTTTTTCAACCCCTAGGATGAATTTCCCCCTAGAACAGTCATTTCTCATATGTTTGCGGGTGGGGAGCGTTCCGTCTCCCGCTCAACGAAAGCACGTAAAAAGCACATAATTCTGGCACAATTTTTTTTTCAATCATCCCTTATTTTGCAATCCCTACCCTTATGTCAAATGTTGACAAATTTTGAAAGACGCGTGTGTGTGTGTGTGTGTGTTTGGGTGTGCGTATGTGATCAAAATTTTGTCAAACGATGTCTCCCGAACGAATAATGTGATTCAATTTTTTTTACAATCGATGAGTTTTTATGTAACTTAGAACTGATTAGTTTATGGAAACGATCACCTCAGCAATTCTTTAATTATTCGCGTAAAACTTGCGAAAAAATATCATAAAAAGATCATTTTCTGGAAATTCACCGAGGTTACCCAGAAAATTCATAGAATTGGAATTTTTCTTTTGCAGTCGATGTGCCTTTATGTATCTCAATTCTGATCGGATGTTGAGTGAAATGGTCTCAGCAGTTTTGGATTATTAGGTGTACAAGTAAGTTTTAGGACACTTCGGTTCCGTGTCATGAAAGTAATTCAAAATTACCGCTTACATATGATATGGTGGGGTTTGTTATGTGGTATCAAAACATAAGGGAGTCATAAACATAACCTTAAATTCTGTGAATAAAACATGCAGACCGATAAGCTATTTATTAGACACTGCATTCGCTATGAATTCCATCAAGGAAAAACTGTTAGGAAAGCATGTCAATCGATT